ATTTTCTTCAATTGAAGTGCCCACCCGGGGCTCGCACCTGGTTTTTTGTCAGAGAAGTCTTCCTGCTCAAACTTGCCCCCCGCCCCCCGGACTACAACAACAACGGCTCCCGCTTGAGATTTCTTCACAATTTAGCCAGGACCCCCGCTCCCGCCCGAGACTTCCTCGCATTTTATTCAGGAATCGCGCTCTCGCTTGGGACTTCCTCCTTACAATTTATTTAGGAATCGCTCTCCCTGCGCTCTGGAGTCGCGCTTTCGGTGGAGAGTTGCTTGCAATTTACGATAGAATAGCGCCCTTGCGTTGGATTTTGTTGCAACTTAGTCCGGCGCCGCGCTCCCGACACCCAGGCACCCATGAGTCGCGCTCACGCTTAGGATTCCCTCACAGATTACCTCGGATCTCGCTGCCCTTCGTGGCCCCGTTGCAGCCCTTCGTAGCCCCCTCGCTTTGTTTCGTGGCCCCGCTGTAGCCTTTCGTGGCCCCCTCGCTGCCCTTCGCGGCCCCGTTGCAGCCCCTCGTGGCCTCCTCGCTGCCCTTCGTGGCCCCGCTGCTGCCCTTCGTGGCCCCCTCGCTTTGTTTCGTGGCCCCATTGCAACCCTTCGTGGCCCCCTCGCTGCCCTTCGTCCCGTTGCAACCCTTCGTGGCCCCCTCGCTGCCCTTTGTGGCCCCGTTGCGGCCCTTCGTGGCCCCCGTCGCTGCCCTTCGTGGCCCCATATATGTATGCCCTTCGTGGCCCCCGCTCGTTCGCGCCCGTGGTTGCCTCATATGCATGCCCTTCGTGGCCCCGCTGTCGCCGTGTGTGGCCCCCTCACTGTCCTACGTGGCCCAATTGCTACTTTCAGTGGCCCCATCGTTGCCTTTTGTGGCCCCGCATTATCTGCCTTTCGTGGTCCCCGCTCGTTCGCGCTCTTCGTGGCCCCATACGCATTCCCTTCGTGTTCCCGCTGTCGCCCTTCGTGGCCTACTTCGTGTCCTTCGTGGCCCTGCTGTCGTTCTCTCTCGCTCTCGCTTTCGCTCGTCGTCGTCGTCGCCGTCGTCGTCGTCGTCGTCGTCGCCGTCGTCGTCGACGTCGTCGTCGTCGTCCTCGTCGTGGTCGGTCCCCTGTCCGTCCCTCTGGGGGTCGGGTCGACGGTCCGCGGCCGCCCCGCCGATCAGCGCTGTCGCTGGCCAGGCCGACGGTCCGCGGCCGCCCCGCCGCTTGCCGGGGCCCGGCCTGCAGGGAATAAAGGTATACCCCCCAAAAGGGGTTCGATCGAAGACGGAGAGGGCGGGTATCGAGGGTTTGGGAAATACGCGTTATTGGGCACTCGAGCAGATAAGGGCGAACAGTCTTAAAATGATTGTTGTTGTTGTTGTTGTTGTTGGTGTTGTTGTTGGTGTTGGTGTTGGTGTTGGTGTGGTTGTTGTTGTTGTGGTTGTGGTTGTGGTTGTGGTTGTGGTTGTGGTTGTGGTTGTGGTTGTGGTAGTGGTTGTGGTTGTGGTTGTGGTTGTTGTTGTTGTTGTTGTTGTTGTTGTTGTTGTTGTTGTTGTTGTTGTTGTTGAACTCCCACTATTGAAAAATATTGTTGACCCTCCCCCCTCCGGAGCACATTGTATTTTTCAATGGATTTTCCCTCCCGTCGCTCGCCCCTCGTTTTTTCTCCAACTAGGCCTGCCCTAGAGGAGTTCTAATTCAAGCCCTGCTAATTGGTCCGTTGCCCCCCCTAATTCCTATGCCCCCCTAATTCTTATGGCTATACCTATGGCTATGCCTATGCCTCCCCCTGATTCCTATGCCTACGCCTATGCCTATGCCCATGCCGATTCTCCAAAAAGGCTTCCTATAGGAGTCTTAGCTGATCATACATAATTGGTCTTTAGCCTCCCCCTTTTTCCAATTGCGCTCCCCCTTATTTCCAATGGCCCTCCCTCTCCCCCTCCCCCTTCTGCCAATGGCATCCCCCCCCTTATTTCCAATGGCACCCCCAGTTATTTCCAATGGCGAGTCCTATGGATTCCTATGGATTCCTATGAGTCGCTTGCTCTTGCGTGCTCTTGCTTGCTTGCTCTTGCGTGCTTGCTATCGTTTGCTTGCTCTTGCTTGCCCTTGCTTGCTTGCACTTGATCGCTCGCACTTGATCGCTTGTTATTGCTCGCTTGAGCTTGCTTGCTTCCGCTCACTTGCTTGCGCTTGCTTGATTTTGGTCCTCCCGTCCTCTTCCCGTCCTGCTCCCATCCTCCTTTGGCTTCCTCCCATCCTCCTCTCGTCCTCCTCCTGTCCGCCAATCTTTTGAGCTTCAACGCTGGCTGAAGATGATCTCAGAGCCAGCAGTCTTAAGATGATTTTTGAACTCTCACTATATAAGAACAATTATTGTTGATCCCCCCTCCCGATGCATATGGTATTTTTCAGTTGAAGTGCCCCTCCAGGCGCTCGCACCCTGTTTTTTATCAGGGGAAGTCTTCCTCCTTAAACTGTGTCCCTGGCCCCTAGTTTACAACAACAGCGGCTCCTGCTTGATACTTCCTCGAAATCTACTCTGGTCCCCCGCTCCCGCTTGATATTTCTTCGCAGTTTACGCAAGAATCGCGCTCCCGCCTGAGAATTCCTCACAATTTACTCGGGCGCCGCGCTTTTGCAATTCAGGAATCGCGCGTTCGCTGGGGACTTCTTCAAATTTGCCTAGGAGTCGCTCTCTCGCTGGAAATTTCTTGGCTAATCACGCAGAACCCACGATCGATCCGCCTGCTCGGCCCGCCCGTCAGGGTCATGCCCTTCGTGCCCCATGCTCGCTCGCGCTCTTTGTGCCTCATTGCTGCCCTTCGTGGCCCCTCCCCTTGTGGCCCAGTCGCTGCCCCTCGTGGCCCCGATGCTGCCCTCAATAGCCCCTCGCTGCCCTTTGTGGCCCGTATATACGCCCTTCGTGGCCCCCAGTCGCTCGTGCCCTCAGTGGCCCCATTGCTACCCCTCGTGGCCCCACTGCTGCCCTCAGTGGCCCCCTCGCTGCCCCTGGTGGCCCATATATACGCCCTTCGTGGCCCCCAGTCGCTCGTGCCCTCAGTGGCCCCAATGCTACCCCTCGTGGCCCCACTGCTGCCCTCAGTGGCCCCCTCGCTGCCCCTTGTGGCCCATATATACGCCCTTCGTGGCCCCCAGTCGCTCGTGCCCTCAGTGGCCCCAATGCTACCCCTCGTGGCCCCACTGCTGCCCTCAGTGGCCCCCTCGCTGCCCCTTGTGGCCCATAAATACGCCCTTCGTGGCCCCCAGGCGCTCGTGCCCAGAGGGGGTACGATCGAAGACGAAAACGGCGGGTATCGGGGGTTTGGGATATACGTGGTGAGGTACGCGCGAGCAGATAAGAGCGAACAGTCTCAAACTGATGGTTGAATTCTCACTGAAATAATTATTGTTGATCCCCCCTTCCGTTGCACATTGTATTTTTCAACTGAAGTGCCCCTCCCGGGGCTCGCACCCGAATTTTTATCAGGGAAAGTCGTCCTCCGCAAACTGCGTTGTTGGCCCCCGGGTTACAACAACAACGGCTCCGGCTTGAGACTTTCTCACAATTTAGTCAGGACCCCCGCGCCCGCCCGAGACTTCCTCGCATTTTATTGAGGAGTCGGGCTTTCGTTTGGGACTTCCTCACAATTTATTCAGGAATCGCTTTCTCGGCGCTCTCGCTGGAGACTTGCTTGCAATTTACTCAAGAATAGCGCCCTTGCGTTGGAATTACCTGCGATTTACCCAAGCGCCGCGCTCCCGACACTCAGGCACCCAGGAGTCGCGCTCACGCTGAGGACTCCCTCACATATTATTTAGGAATCGGAATCTCGCTACCCTTCGTGGCCCCGTTGCAGCCCTTGGTGGCCCCCTCGCTGCCCTTCGTGGCCCCGTTGCAGCCCATTCGTGGTCCCCCCGCTGCCCTTCGTGGCCCCGTTGCAGCCCTTCGTGGCCCCCTCGCTGCCCCTCGTGGCCCCGTTGCAGCCCTTCGTGGTCCCCTCGCTGCCCTTGGCCCCGTTGCAGCCCTTCGTTGCCCTTCGTGGCCCCGTTGCAGCCCTTCGTGGCCCCCTCGCTGCCCTTCGTGGCCCCGTTGCAGCCCTTCGTGGCCCCCTCGCTGCCCTTCGTGGCCCCGTTGCAGCCCTTCGTGGCCCCCTCGCTGCCTTTTGTGGCCCCGTTGCAGCCCTTCGTGGCCCCCTCGCTGCCCTTCGTGGCCCCGTTGCAGCCCTTCGTGGCCCCCTCGCTGCCCTTCGTGGCTCCGTTGCAGCCCCGCATTATCTGCCCTTCGTGGCCCCCGCTCGTTCGCGCTCTTCGTGGCCCCATATGCATTCCCTTCGTGTCCCCGCTGTCGCCCTTCGTGGCCTACTTCGTGCCCTTCGTGGCCCTGCTGTCGTTCTCTCTCTCGCTCTCGCTTTCGCTCGTCGTCGTCGTCGTCGTCGCCGCCGTCGTCGTCGTCGACGTCTTTGTCGTCGTCGTCGTCGTCGTCGTCGTCGTCGTCGTCGTGTTCGATCCCCTGTCCGTCCCTCTTGGGGTCGGGTTGCCGCCGATCAGCGCTGCCGCTGGCCAGGCCGACGGTCCGCGGCCGCCCCGCCGCTTGCCTGGGCCCGGCCTGCAGGGAAGAAAGGTATATCCCCCCAAAGGGGTACGATTGAAGACGAAAAGGGCGGGTATCGAGGGTTTGGGACATACGTGTTAACGGACACCCGAGCAGGTAGGAGCGAACAGTCTTAACATGATTATTGTTGTTCTTGCTGTTGGCCATGACGATTCTGATGAGGGGTAGATGCAGGGCGGGGAGGTATCAGGAGAGGGCAGGAAGGGGGCAGAAGGAGCAGGAAAACGAATAGGAGGAGAAGCGGGAGCAGGAGCAGGAGGAGGAGGAGGAGGAGGAGGAGGAGGAGGAGGTTGAGGAAAAGAAGAATGATGATGATGATGGGGAGGAGGAGGAGGAGGAGGAGGAGGAGGAGGACCAGGAGGAGGAGGAGGAGGACGAGGAGGAGGAGGAGAACCTGCTTCCCAGGAGCCCCCGCCCTCGCTGCCGGCGTTCGGTTTCAGCCCGAAGCCGCGGACGGAGGTGCCCAGCGACGGAGACTGGGTCGACAGCCGGCGACGACGAAGGGGGGGCGAAGGGCGACGACAGTTAGGCGGTGGAGGATTCAAGCTGGGATTCAATCGGAGCAACAGTGTTGCGGGCCACAAAGCCCCAACTCACAGGGAGATTATTGGGGCAGTAGCTTCAAAGGAGGACGGCACCTTCGGGGATTAGGGGTTTGGACCCGCGGGTGCATCCTGAAGGACAGCGGGAGCAGGGCCAGGATCGTTTGACGATCCAGCTCCGCTCACACTCGGAGGAGGGAGGAGGAGTGGGAGGACGAGGAGGAGAACGTCAAGGAACCAGTACACTCCCGACGACGTGCTCGCTCAATCGATCCCCCTCGTGCACGGGGTGCTGCTGCGATCGAGTTCTCGTTCTGGGTGGAGGCGGCCAAAGCAGAGACATCCTCAACAGAAATTGTGAGGTCCAGACCGTTTCGCTTGAGACATCCTCACAATGCTCGTTGCCGAGTTGGCTGGGATTGAGCGTTTCGTCTGAGACATCCTCGAACGTCGGAGTTCTGAGACCCCGCGCGAGAGGTGGCAATTCTTGTCTCCGAAATGCCGCGTGCGGTGTTCTGGTACCTTTCGCCGCAGACGTCCTTGCAACTCTGGGCTCCGAGATGTTGCGCGAGAGGTGGGTGCTTCGCCTGAGACATCCTCGCAACTCTGGGCTCCGAGACGCCGCGAGCGAGGCGATTCGGTGCGTTTCGCCTGAGGCATCCTCGCAATTCTGGGCTCCGAGACGCTGCGCGCGAGGTGGTCCAGCGCGTTGCGCCTGAGACATCCTCGCAATTCTGGTCTTCGAGGTGCCGCGCGAAAGGTGGTCTGGCTCGTTTCGCTTGAGACATCCCGGCAATTCTTGGCTCTGGGATGCCGTGCGCGGGGTGGTCCGCCGCGTTTCGCCTGAGACATCCTTGCAATTCTGATCTCTGATATGCCGCGCTCGAGGTGGTTCAGTCCGTTTCGCCTGAGATATGCTCGCGAATCTGGGCTCCGAGATGCCGCGCGCGAGGCGGTCCAGCCCGTTTCGCCTGAGACATTCTCACATCTCTGGGCTCCGAGATGTCGCGCGCGAGGTGGTCTTGCGCGTTTCGCTTGAGACATCCTAGTGTCTGGGCTCCAAGGCGCCGCGCGCGAGGTGGTCAGGCGCGAGTCGTCTGAGACATCCTCGCGACTGTGAGCTCCCAGTTGCCGCGCGCAAGGTGGTCCAGATCGTTTCTCCTGAGACATCCTCGCACTTCTGGCGCGCGATCGGTATCTCTGGCGAACTTGTGCGCGCGGGGTGGTCTGGCGCGTTTCGCCTGAGACATCCTTGCAACTCTGGTCTTCGAGGTGCCGCCCGCGCGATGGTCTGGCTCGTTTCGCCGGTAACATCCTCGCAACTCTGGGCTTCGAGTTGCCGCGCAAGAGGTGGTCCGGCTCGTTTTGCTCGAGACGTCCTCACAACTCGGGGCTCTGAGAAGATGTGCGCGAGGTAGTCCAGCCCGTTCCGCTTGAGGCATTCTCGCAACTTTGGCCTCCGACATGTTGCGCGCAAGGTAGACATCCTAGAATTTCTGGGCTCCGAGACGGAGGGAGGGGACCGAAACGAAGCATTTGATCCTATCTTATCTGGTTTAATTCATCCGGTGGCAAATGCATCTGGTAACTAATTCATCCGGTGCCTGACTGAATCACTGAAGACCTACTTCGTCCGGCCAAACTCATCCGGTAGCTAACTCATCCGATGCCCTAACTCATCCGGTGCCAAACACATCCGGTTCACCAGGTGACAAACTCATCCGGTGCCCTGTGCCTGACACATCTGGTGCCAAACTCATCCGGTCACTAATTCAACCGGTTGCCTAACTCATCCGATGCCCAAATCACCTGTTGTCCTCACTCATCGGGTGCCCCACAGTTTCCAGTGCCTTCACTCATCCGGTGGCAAACTCACCCCTTGATGAACTCATCCAGTGCCCTGCCTCATCCGATGCCCTAATTCTTCCGGTATCCGAACTCATCCGCCTTGTAATTCATCCAGTACTTCACTCATCCGGTGCCGAATTCATCCACTCTGGCACATTCATCGGATACCATAACTTCATCCAAGCTCATTCATCCAGCATCTTGACGGACGTGCCCGAAAATGCTTGACTTCAAACCCTGTTGCAGTCAAGCAGACTGCCACCCCCCATCTTCCCCAGGATACCCCCACGAAACCTAAGCAGCGAGCTCCCAACGTCGCCTGGAAGACATCCACATATAATCCAAAAGTAACTCCAAATTTGCTTGACTAAACGCTTTGTAGTCAAGCAAATTCCAGCCCCCCATCTGCCGCAGGCCCCAGGAAGCCCCCCAGAACGTGACTTTCAAAGCGTCCAACAATGCCTCGAGAGGCGGTCAAACTTTGCTTGACTACAAGCCGCTTGGTAGTCAAGGAAACTCTACCCACCCATCTGGCCCAGGATACCCCCGAGAAGCCCTCCAGCAGAACCTCGAGAATCAGCGAATCCCGAACGTCGCCTTAAAAATCACCCAACAAAAACTCAAAAGTAACTCAACATTTGCTTGTCTACAAACCGTTTTGTAGTCAAGCAAATTCTCATCTCCCTTCTGCCCCCCCAAGCGCACCCAAGAAACCCTTCACCATAGCTTCTGGAAGCAGCGAGCTCCCAGCGTCGGCCTTGACAACATCCGAGCCGAACTCATCAAGCAATCAGTGCCTAACTCATCGGTGCGCCAAACTCATCCAGAACCCTAACTCCTCCAGTGCCAAATTCATCCGGCGCCCTACCTCAAATCAACCAGGCCTGTCCGGAGACTAACTCATCCGATGCACTAACTCATCCGTTGCCTAACTCATCCGGTGGCTAACTCAAGATTTGCTTGACAGCAAACAGTTTTGTGATCAAGCAAATTCTCAGCCCCCGCCTGCCCCAGGATGCCCCCAAGAAGCCCTGCCAGAAGAGTCTGGGAAATTTACTCATCCGATGCCTGACTCAACTTCCCCAGGCCTAACTCATCCAGTGCCTAAATCATCCGATGCCAAATTCATCTGGTGCCATTTTCACCCGTTGCCTTAGTTCATGCGGTCCGTCTTTAAACTTACTCAGGATTAACTCATCCAGTGCCTAGCTGCTAGCTCATCTGGTGCTCTATTCACTCAATTGCCGAACTCATCCAGTGACTAACTCATCCGGTGCTTTAACTCCAAATGCCGAACTCATTCAGCCCTCCTCTGAGTAGGAGGAAGACAGGGAGGATAAGGTGGAGTACGCGCAGGAGGGAGACAAAGAGGAGTAAAAGGAAAGGAGGAGGGGAACGAAGAGGACGTGGAGGATGCGGAGGACGAGGAGCAGGAAAGATCACGGAAACGAGGAGGAGGACAAGAGGGGGGAGGAAGACTGGGAACAGGCACGAGAGCGAGGAATGCTGAGGAGAAGGGCATTTGCCAAGCGATCGGCAATAGTGAGCACGCATGCGCATACACTTTCGGAAGCCCTCGTGGATCTCTGGCGTCGGCACCGAGCCCCGATCCGGGCGGGAGCCGCCCGTCGCGCGCCAGGGCCCAAACCCGGAGCGGTCCAGCGCGGACTCGAGGTCTCCGCGCGAGCTTCCGAAAGTTTATGCGTAGGTTGTTTCCTTTTTGTCCCCTCCGGCCGCCTGAGGCCCCGCCCGCCCGCGCCCAGTTTCCCCAATTAGTGCTTTGCGCGGCCCGCCTAGCTCTTAACCGGAAGAGGCTCGCTCTCGACCCGCAGACCAAACATTGTTTACAGCGCAGCTCTTCAAAATCGGGTGCCAAACTCATCCGGCACCAAACTCGTCCGGCGCCAAACTTATCTGGTGCCAAACCCATCCGGTACCAAATTCATCCAGTGCGAAACTCATCTGGTGCCAAATTCATTCAGTGCGAAACTCATCTGGTGCCAAACTCATCCGGTGCCAAAGTCATCCGGTACCAAACTCATCCGGGTGCCAAACTCATATAGTGCCAAATTCATGTGGTGCGAAACTCATCCGGTACTCATTTATCCGACTCCTACATTATCTGATGCCTGGCTCATATGATGCCTACCTGATCTTGTGCCCAATTCATCTGGTGCTTAACTCATCCGGGCTAACTCATCCGGTGACTAATTCAGCAGGTCTAATTCATCCAATCGCGGTTCACCCGAACCGCGGATCGGATGAGTCGGAGCGGATGAGTCGCCATCGGGTGGATCAGCCAGTCTCCCTGCGCGCGAGGTGGTCTGGTGCGTTTCGCCAGTGACATCCCCAGACCCCGTACCTCGTGATTTTTTCACGACGTCGACCCCCAGAGGTCTGGACCCCTTCCCCGGGACCGGTTCTTCATCCTGAGTCGTTTTTTGACGCTCCCGAGGCCCGGGGAATGCCCCCGGAGGCCGAAAATAACGCAAAACCTCCCGTCGTGATTTTTTCGACGACGCCAGGAGGTCTGGGTCCTCGCAACTCTGGGCTTCGAGCTGCTGCCCGATAGGTGGTCTTGGCTCGTCTCGCCCGAGGCAGCCTCGCAGCTCTGGGCTCCGAGAGGGAGGCGCGCGCGCCACGCTGGCGTGGGCGTCGGGTCGTGCCCGCTCGCGGGTGGCTCGGGCGGGGGAGGAGGAGGAGGAGGAGGAGGAGGAGGAGGAGGAGGAGGAGGAGGAGGAGGAGGAGGAGGAGGAGGAGGAGGAGGAGGAGGAGGAGGAGGAGGAGGAGGAGGAGGAGGAGGAGGAGGAGGAGGAGGAGGAGGATGGGGAGGGGGAGGAGGAGGAGGAGGAGGAGGCGCATTTGTACCACCTACGCCACCCGCCAGAGCCAGAGGAGGTCCCCGTGACCTCACCTCTGAAGAGAAAAAGAGAAAGAGTGGGTCAGACAGATCAGAAATACTGGCCTGCCAAACTCTTCCTGGCCAGCTTTATGTCGACCTCCGAAAGAGCGCGTTCTCTGGGTGCTTGGAGCGTCCTCCCCCCTTCCGCCTGGTCTTGTGCGTGGGCCTGGGCGTGGGCGTGGGCGCGGGCGTGGGCGTGCGTGTGAGCTTTGGCGTGGGCGTGGGCGTGGGCGCGGGCGTGGGCGTAGGCCTGGGTCTAGGTGTGGGCGTGGGCGTCGGCGTGGGCGTGGGCGTGGGCGTGGGCGTGGGCGTGGGCGTGGGCTTGGGCCTGGGCGTGGGTGTGGGCGTGTGTGTGAGCGCGGGTGTGGGCGTGGGCGTGCGTGTGAGCGTGGGCGTGGGCGTGGGCGTGGGCGCGGGCGTGGGCCTGGGCCTAGGTGTGGGTGTGGGCGTGGGCGTGGGCGTGGACGTGGGTGCGGGTGTGGGCGTGGGTGTGGGCGTGAGTGTGGGTGTGAGCTTGGGCGTGAGCGTGGTCGTGAGCGTGGGCCTGGGCCTGGGCGCGGGAGTGGGCGTGGGCGTGGGCGCGGGGGCGGACGTGGGTGTGGGCGTAGGCGTGCGTGTGAGCGTGGGCGTGGGCGTGGTCGTGGGTAGCCACCGGTTGGCCACGTCCACAAACGAGGCGAGGGGTTTGTCGTCCGCGCTAGTCAGCATGGGGAGGGGCAAGGGACCGCGCTTCTTCCTAGAACATGCTCCCGTTGCTCGCAGTTTGCTGCATGTCTCTTCGAAGTCGTACCTTGACCGGGCGGACGCAACTTGCTCCGCTGGTGCTGCCGTGTGCGCGCGCGCATCCATGTTGATGCTGTGATTCACGGACGTGGTGTGCGCTTGAAGTGCGGGCTGGCGCGCAGCAGCGCATATACCCGACATGCGCATCGTATAGCACCAGAAAGCGGGGAGCCCCTCGGAGCACTGCCCTGGGAGGGCCCCCTTCATTTCCTCGAACGCGCGCGGCGGAGGCCTACCAGGGTCCAGAAAAGCCTCCATTTGATCTCACCCACAACCTGAAGGGGGTCATCCATTTATCGGCTGAAACCGCGAGCCCAGGTACAACACGACAGGGCAGTGCGCATAGCTGACATAGGTGCTTTCAGCGATCCGCGAGTGCTGGACGCAGGTGTGCTGCTAGTTTGCCAGGCCGAAGAGCCCAGCGTCTCTGTGCGTCCCCATTTCGTCTCCCTGAAAACTTCCACTGCGCAGTACGCTTATGTCGGGCGTGTCCCCCTACATGGGGATTGTCGACGAAACATAGAAAATAGCCCAAGCATACCCCAAAAAAGTCCAACAAATACTCAAACAATAGTCCCCGGACTATTTTTGGACTTTTTTTATTTTTCGTCAAAATTCCCTCTGTAGGGGGACAGGCCCGACTTAACAGTGCGCGAGCATAGCCATGGCCTGCGTGCAAGTTCCGCCCATGCATGGAAGAGACTGCTGGTCTTGGGCTGGATGCGCATGGGCCCCGCCTTGCGAAGAGCTCTCGGCTGAGCCGTGCGCTGATCCATGATGCCGAGAGATGCTTCTGACACCCGAGGCCGCATCGGAGTGCGGCCCCTGCTTCGAACTGGGAAGGGGTGCTCCAGAGCTTGGTGCACATGCTGGTTCGAAAGCTCGCAACGGAGTGATGGGGGAGACTTCGCACGGCGCTGCAGGAGCGGCCCCCGCAGCAGCCCTTCAACATGGTGCACCGCTTGCTCGTCTGGAAGCTCTGTGAACATCGCATCGTGGCTTGTGCTCTCCGCTAGACTGCCATGCGACCGATGCCATGGGTACCCGAACAAGGGGAGGGGAACGCCTCTCGACGGTGCCAGCCAGGAAGGATGCCCTCTGCTGGAAGACGGCCCCCAGGGGCATCATCCGCCCAGACATGAAGCCCCGCTGGTTTGAACTTGCGGCTGATTCTGGCGCGTCGGGGGTTGGCGGCAGCCGCTGATAGAGCACAGGAGCCAGCGTCCTTCCCAGCGGTGCGGGGTACAGGGCGGGCGCCTCCCTGGGCGTCTCCGAGAGGGGGGTGATGGGGGCAGGGGTCGGACCCGAGCGAACCGCTTGTGGCGTCCAAGACCCGGATAGCGGCGCGGTCCAAGACGGGTGGAATCGGGGGCGGCAAAGGGGGGGGGTGATGACTAGGGGGGGGTGGATATCATGGCGGGGGCCATGATATTTCCCCAGATCTCATGGCGCCTCTTCTTGCTTCATTACGTCCCTGGCCCCCCCGTTGGGCCGCGCACATGCCGCCGGTCATGATTTGCACCCCCCCTCTTGGACACCCCCCTCCTGGCCGCTCCCGAAGACAGGTGAAAGCTAGTGGGGGACCTCTGCAGGATCGCTCGAAGGGATGTCTGGGGAGCTTGCAAGCTCGAGAGAGGAGATCCGAAGGGGCTCAGGATGGGCTGCGAAGGAGCCGCGGAAACGCTCGCGGCGAAAGCGTCGGGGACGAGTCGGAAAACGGTCCTGGGACGCGCTGCAATTTCGAGTGAGGCGCTGCGGCGCCGCTTGACCCGCTACCGTGCGCTGCTGGCTTCTGTTCTCATGCCCTCTCAGCCCTCAGGGAGCGATCCGGGAATGATATTACACCGCGCTCATGTCTCTGCCCTTGGGCGGGTGCGTGCGCGGCCGCTTCTGCGCTGGCATGCGTGCGGCACGTGCCCGGCATGTGCCCGGCAGGTGCGGGCCTTCTGGGCTGAGTGTCCTGCTGTGTGTGCAGGGCGGCGTGCGATGATGGCAGATCTGCCAGCGGCACGCGCGCGCGCGCCTCTGCAGTCCTCCTGCGGATAGCCGCGCGGGCCCGCACATGCGCCCACATGCGTTGAATCGCGCGTCCGCACGTGCTCGCGCATGCCGACGTACATGCCCGCGCATGCCTTCGGAGCTGTCTGGGTCCCCCACCTCCAGAGTGCTTCGTGGTCTGTCGCAGAGTTTCCTGGGGATTGCCAGGGCTTCCCGAAGCTTCCTGCGGCCACGAGGGTACCCCGTGCCAGGCATGCTGGGAGAGCTTGCGCGCCTGACTCGCCCACTGATGGGAGCGTTTTTTTCGCCCGCGGGTCGCGTCTATGTGCTTCGCCCTTGGTCGCTGTCCAGTGGCCGTGCAGAGCATGTTGGCGCGCCCTGTCCAAGTCTCTTTCCCACGCGCGCCTGTTCGGATCGGCCGCAGGAGTTGGAGGGAGAGGGGGAGGAGGAGGAGGGGAGGAAAGGAACCAGACGGAGGGTGAGGGAGGTAGAATGTGCGTGGGGGGGGGGGACATGGTCGAGGTGATCACCAAGAGGGCGAGTTTCCAGTAGAGATCTGCGGCGACCCCACGGGCTCCACTGCCTTCGCCAGTCGGCAGGGGCGCCGGCGACAGAATCGCGTGAGGACCCGCTGCTTGAGGGTGCAGCGTGCGGTCGAGATCCAGGTCATATCTCTGGTGGGCCCTCGTGAGAATGTTGCGGATGCTCTGGCTTAAGCCCTTCGTTGTGGATGGTGCTTCACCTCGGGTCGAGGAGGAGCTTGTTGCCCAGAGCGATAGTGAAGAAAACCTTCCTGGCGGATTGTTTCGCGAACTCGGGGAACATTTTGTTCGCCGTGCTTTTCATTTTCCATGGCCGTCTCTCGGCGAGCTTGCGCGCCCCTCCGTGAACTGCTCGGGCGCTGTAGCGCGCGGCTGCCGTGCTTCTGAGAAGCCCGCTGCCAAGGGGGAACGCAGAGATGCAGCGCCCGAGATTTGGGCCGCGTGTGTACCAAAGTCGCTGAATCGGACCGAAAGATATCGTTGTATCCCTTCATTATTCACGATTGGAGGGTGGTTCCTTTTCAAAGTGCGGCATTTGCGTCTTCCATCGGGGCGCAGCCCACAGCGCAAAATGTTTGCCGGGGCCGATGGGGGGGAAGTTTGGACGGTGGGTTTATTGCAATATCGTTGACGAGGCTTGGGTTTACACTGGTCCCTGTCGTCCTCCTCCGGCGTCGCCGCCGCCGCCGCCGCCTCCTCCTCTTCCTCCTCGTCGTCCCCCTCCTCCTCAATCCTGTTCCAGTCCTCAATCCTCCCCTCTCCCCTGCCCTGCTCGTCTCTTTCCTTCTCCACCCCCCTTCTCCCCCGCGCTTCTCCGCGTCCCCAGGTCGTGGTGGTGGGCATGGAGAGCGCCAGCGAAGGCGTGGTGTCCCACGAGCAGCGGGCCAAGTTCCACGAGGTGGGCGGGGGGGAGGGGGGAGGAGGAGGGGGAAAAAGAACGTGTGGACGAGGACGATGAGGAGGACGAGGGGGAGTAGGAGGACTGAGGAGGAGGAGGAGGAAACTGATAAGAAGCAGAAGAAGCAGGCACGACAGAAACAGACTACCGATGTCAACAATGGTAACATCAATAGTAGTAGGACAAGTAAACATAAGTAAGTATGGATAATAAGACTAGTCATAGTCATACCAATACTATCAATACCATGGCTAATCCTAATCACATATCGAATGCGAATACACATAGGATAATCCAAGCGCGAGTAATAATAGTAATCGGACGCATAATACTCGAACAAGAGGAACAAACTACACGAGCACTACAACGAATCATACTCTTAGAGTAGTAGTACGAACATTGATCACATCGATACGAATGTTACAAGGGAGTATTAATAGTAAGAGTAGTACGAATACTATGGACATAGTAACATAACTGATAATATTAAGCCGAGGAGTGGTAAGGGCACTGAGAATGCTATCGTGGAGCAACAAACTGAATATTACTATAATTAATAACATTCATAACATATGGCAAAGTTTAACCATATACGAAAATGATAACACCAATCGTATTAATAAGCCGCATAAGATATGGATTTAAATACTTGTATGCGTTATGCTAATGATGCTGATGCTAGTGCGGATGCCAATGCTATGGAGAATAACTGTACGAATAGTAATACTCATAACATTACTACTCATATCAATATGAATGATATTACGGATACGAACAAACGAATACGTCTACTAAGAGTAATCATATGACGAAGGCGCATAATAATACAAGCGAGAATATTCAGAGGAGGACGAGGAGGAGGAGGAGGAGGAGGCGGAGGAGGTGGAGGAGGCGGAGGAGGAGGAGGAGGAGGAGTAGGATGAGAAGGAGGAGGACCCCCTCCCACTCCACCTTATGGTGGTGGTGGTGGTGGTGGTGGAAAACAAGTCCATCATCCTTCCCCCTCTCCCCCTCTGTTTTCGCGCCGCCAGCCCCCGAGCATCTTCTTATCTTCTTGAACAGATCGGGGGGTGGAACCGGAAGCGCTCGTCGGAGAGCGCCACGAGGGATGACCTGGGCGACCGTCGGTGGGTGGCGGTCCCTCCCTGCAAAAGCATAGTAATGCACTGCAACACATGCAATTCCAAGATCACGTCAGGATTGTGTGTCCCCGACGCTTGTGGTCCCCTTTGTGTTGTGATCCCCACTGTGGTTCTGGATTTTCCCCCCGGGGTTGCAGGGCCGTGTTCCTTCGCACGCGGCCCCAGGTGTCGTGGCGAAGCGAGCGTGGAATGCCCGCTGCCGTATCCTGGCCGTGGTGTACACCATTGGTAGCCAAGTCGTTATTGCGGCCTTCCTGGGCATTTCTGTTGTGGGCCAGCCCAGCCGGCGTGTAAGGCCAGCAATCGGCACGCGGACGCCCCGGCGCAGGTCGTGATTGGCAGAACATTCCCAGTAATGGTGCTCGAGCGTGGGCACGTGTGGCTCGTCGCAGTGGTCGCAAGTGTTCAATGCCTCCCCAGCTGTGTGGGATTGGAAGAGGGCGCCTGACACAACACACCCACACAGCACCAGGGTCATGTGTGAAGCCATGTCAGGAGTGGTACGCAGTGCATCCTGGGCGGCCCGCAGGGTAGCCGTCGGGAAAGGAACCCCCGCCGCCAGAGGTCTCTACCAGCGAGTCATGTTCTGTAGCACGGACCATTCTGTAGATCGGAGGACCAGGCGAAGCTCGTGTAGCTGCTTGCCCTTCCTGCCGGTGAGCCGGAGGCTTCCCTGAGGTCCCCTCCACTCCCAGTTGTCGTCCTGGTGGGCACCAGTAGTAGCCAGGTGAGCTTTGTAAGCAAGGATCGGCCCCTTCGTTTGCGCACTCGTGACAGCGCGCTCCCAGAAGGCGAGGGCATCTAGGCCCCGCCGACGCAGCAGGCAGCGGAGCAGCTGCAGGGATCGCCAGCACCTGTGGTACCGCACGTCTGCCTGATGCCCCATGAGAACCATGCGGAGTAGTTTTTGGGCCGCGCCTCTCCATTTCTTGAGGGAGACCGCCCGTCGTGCCAACTGCTGGTGGTTGTTGATCATAGTCTTCGTAGGTGGCGTGAGAACCAGCGCCCATGTCGACACAGGTATTGCCATCGCAGTAGCCGCAAACCGTCGTAGTCGCAGCGACAGGGGCATCGAGGCGATACGCCAGAGTCGCGCGCACCCCTCCTCAAACTTGCGGTGCTCCCTGTTGGTCAGCCGGGCCCTGTGGAGATCAAGATCCAGACCCAGAATCTTCATGGTCATCCTAGCCAGCTGAGCGGCAGCACACATCTCTGGGTAGATAGTAAAACTTTGCGCCTTGGCGTGGTTGGCCCGTAAAGCCGTCAGACTTTCTAGGTGGTCCAATTCCTGCTGTATGCGCTGCATGTTTTCTGCTGTACTGGTCATAGTTGTCCTGTCGTCCGCGTAAGTGCAACGCGTGGCGGTCGGAGCTATGGTTCCAATTCTGCGCAGAGGTCTCGCAAACATCGTAGCCATCGCCAGCATAGCGGCGGGGTCACCTTGAGGCAGGCTGTTAGAGACGAGTATACATTTGTCGGAGAGGAATGGGCCAAACTCAGTCCAGCGTTCCTGTTGCTCCCATATGAAAACGATGCTGTTGGTGATATCATGTGGGACGCCCAAGTGCCGCCACACCGCGCCGACCAAGCGCGGGGAAACCCGGTCAAAGGCCGATTCATAGTCCCGGGATGTGACGGTGCAGCTCGCCCCGGCGCTTCTGAAGGAGAGCTTGCTGTTCTGGCGCAGCGTCAAGCGTGCCGTCAAGCCTGTTACCGGTGTTTGTTTTCTCGGGCCGGGAGAGGCATGGCTCGATGAGCTGCTCCAGAGTGCGGCCCTTCGTCCCCCCGCCCTGCGTGTCAGGGAAGGCAGGTTGAATATACTCAGTGAGCTGAGCCGCTCTCCAGCGATGCCAGGCTCTGACAAACGCACTCGCGATCGTTATAGGACGTATTCGCGTCAGCACCGGCATGATTGCAGACTCGTCCTTAGGAAAGTGTACTTGCCTCCACTGCAGGAGTTGAGGCGGCCAGCCCTGTTGTTCAGCCTCGGTGCAGATGTGCATCAGCTCCACAAGGGCGTCGTCTGGTAGAAGCATCAGCTCTTCTGGGCACCGCTGGTCGGGACCATGGGCTTTTCCTCCATGGAACATTCGTCGGAACTATGAGACCTCCGAGAACCCCCCGAGCGCCTCCGAGGACTAGCGAGAGCCTCCCGCGAACCCCCGAACACGACCGAGTTTTTCTTCTAATTCTCTTGGCGAAGGACTCAACAATATGCAGTTGTGAGTATCGCCATTGTGGGTATCGCCCTCGCTGGAATTCATAATTTCCAGACCCCACCGCCCAATCAAATCCCTTGCCTCCAGGCCCGACTCGCCCATCAAGCTTTTCTGTTCCAGCCCCCGCCGCCCTTCAAATCTTTGATTTCCAGGCCAGGCGGCCTTTTTCAAATCCCTTGCTTCCAGTCCGTGCTGCCCATTCCAATCTCTTGCTTCCAGGCCCGACTCCCCAGTCAAACTCCCTCATTCCAGGCCTCGCCGCCGTTTCGAACCTTTGGCTTACATGCCAGACTGCAGATTCAAAGCCCTTGCTTCCAGGCACCACCGCCTGTTCAAATTTTTCCTGGCCCGACCGCCCGTTCAAATCCTTTGTTTGCAGGCAGCGCCACCAGTTCAAATCCCCTGCCCCAGGCCCGACTATCCAATCCAATTTCTCTATCGATTCTAGGCCCCGCCGCCCGTTCAAATCCTTGGGTTCCAGGCCCCAGTGCCCGTTCAGATTTCATGTGTCTGGCCCAACCACCCTCCCAAATTCATGCCTTGCAGGCTCAGTGTCCATTCGAATCTTTGGCTTCGTTTCTAGCTTTTAGACCCAGCTCACGTTCGAATCTCATGCTTCCAAGCCCGAATGCCCTTTTAAACTCCTCGTTTTCCATGCCTTGCCGCCCCTTCAAATCTCCTACTCCCATGCCCAGCTGCCCTCGCAATCTCTTGGCTTCCAGGCCCCACTGCCCGTTCAAATCCTTGAGTCCAGGTTCGACTGCCACTCCCCACGTGCTTCGCCGAGCGCGACGAAGCACCTAGGTGCACCAGGTGCACCGCGGGATTCTTCTTTGGCCTCTCGAGCAGATGTCGTGCCCTCCCGGGCTTCGGCCTCCTCCTCCTCCTCCTCCTCCTCCTCCTCCTCCTCCTCCCCCTCCTCCTCCTCCTCCTCCTCCTCCTCCCCCCAGCGACTCTCGTGGGCCTCGTTCCTGGAGGGGCTGGTCCTTCGCCGCCCCTGGTGGCAGCCCCTCGCCGCCTCGCCGCCGCGACGCCGCCGCGCGACGGCGTGCGCCCCCCGGGCGTCCGCCCGGCGTGGGCCTTCGCCGCCCCCCCGTCGCCGCCGCGCCGTCGGCATGCGCCCGCGGGGCCTCCGCCCGGCGGCCGTCCCGCCGCCGCCGCGTGCGCCGCCAGGGCCTTTCGCCTGTCCGCGGCCCTGCTGCGCGCACGCGGCGGTCGCCGATGCATCGCCGACGTCGCCGACGCATCGGCGATGCGGCGCGATCTTCCCACCCCAGCTGCTCCGACCCGATTGGGGATGCCTCTACGGCAGGAGGAGGGCTGGTCACGACAGCCCAAGCCGAGAGCCACCAGGGGGGATCTGCAGGGTCTGCCGCACGGCCCCCCGCATCGAGCAGGGGGGATGATCGCGGGCCCCCTTGGCCTGGATGGCTGGTGGCCCGGGGCGGAGCAGGGCGGGTGCACTCTGAGCACCCCAGGTCTGAGCGCGGTCTCGCGGGGAGGCGGCAGTCCGGGGACGGCCCCTGCAGACTCGGAGGGGAGGGTGGGATGGGGGGGGATGGGGGGGGAGGCAAGCTCCCCAGACGAGCTTCGAGTCATTCAAACAAATCACGGCGCGAGGTTGTTCGCTATTTTCTGA